TATCTCCCAGATAAAGTTTTCCTTGGTTGCTTTGAGTATAGTTTTTGAATACCTCTTTATTGGGGCACGCATGAAAAAAGACACCTAAATCTACTATCCAAGAGTCAGTACTAACTAGGGATAACACCAGGGAGTTAGTCTGAATGTTACTAGTGGAGACATTTATAGAGAGATTCTTTTTTTGTCCTCCCACAACTTTTCTTAGTGTTTTGCAATTCTTCTTGAAATGTCATTTTCTTTCGCAGTTCCAATATTCTCATCTGTCATTTCCTTTATTTAACTTGGAATTTCTTCTCCTGGACTTGGATCTACCTTTGCCTGTATTTCTGTCCAGAATCATTCCTCTGTTATAAAAATTCAACGCAGAACTTGAAGAGTTACCATTCGTTGCTTTTCTGTGAACTTCTTCATTCAACATCAAATCCACGAAGCCATCGAAGTTCAACTTCGTATTCCCTAAAGAATTACTCGCCGCCGTACTAAAATCATCCCAACTATTCGACAATGAAGATAGTATCACCAGTGCTCTAGCTTTATCATCAAACTTGATCCCCACAGAACACAACTGGCTCGTTACAGCATTGAAATTATTCAGATGTTCTGCTACTGAACTGTCTTGCACCATCTTCATGTTGAATAACCTCTTTAACAGGAAAATCTTATTTGAACCAGAAGATTTTTCACACATCTTAGTCAGTGCTGCTCATTTACAATGTTGAATGAAACGGACGAGGGAAGAGACAACCATATCAAACCTCGTGTCGTTTAATCCAACACTTCTCATTCCTCCATAGTCATAGATTCAGGTTTCTTGATGATCTCTTGTAGTGACAAATATAATTTTTCTAATTAGCAAATCCTCTACTTGCATTATCCAGAATGCGAAGCCATATCATTGAATTTCTTCACTTTAAACATTGTTTTCTCGGCCATTGCTCCCACTTGAATCGACCCATTATGATATTGCTTTTTGTTAAATAATTAAAATAATCAACCCCCTTCAACTTTACTGTGGCTTAGGTTCAATTAGAAAATAAACCACATCACGTAATAGGATCACACAGACTCGAGAAACCCATAACAAAAAAATGAACTGAAGCAAAACGAAGACAATCCAAAAAAACACATAAGGATTTAACGTGGAAAAATTCGAGAACGGGAAAAAACCACGAAGTCATATCATAAAAAAGTTTCACTATGAATCCAAAAAGTTTTACTGAGAATATACTCAGATTTCCTCTTAACAATCAAGGAAACCTACAAGACCTCGCTCTAATTTCTCCCTCTCGACCCGACGAAGAAATACATGCAAAATTTTCCTCTTCGACTCTTCTCTCCTTCACCAGGAACTTGTCGAAAAACTCACACACAGGTACTGCTACATTCGCCGCTCGAAATAAGCTCCTTAAATCGAATCATCAACCAATCATTGGGCACATAAGCGCCTGAAATTGGGCGCCTTAGCGCCTGAAATTGGGCGCCTTAGCGCCAGCTACTCGGGAAGAAAAAATGCCTGGAACTCGCGAACCCGAGAGGTGGATGCATAAGTGCCCTACCTGGGTGCAAGGCTGCCCAGTATGGCGCAGGGGCGCCTAGTTGGGAGCAGGGGTGACCTGTTGGGCGCATGAGCAAGGGTGCCCGGTTTGGGCGCATGAGGTGCTCAAAGCTTGGCTAAAGCGCGAAGCCTTCGGTCTTGCAATCCTGGTGCTGCCTGCTGCTGTTGCCTTATGGTGTTCAGGCTCCATACCATAACACCTCAATCAAGTGAATAAGATCCACACAGAAATAACGTCTCTTTCAATAATTCATTTTGAATTATTTTTAGCTGACAGAGAAGCCAACAACACAAGCTATTTTAATGTTTAGGGACAAAACATAAACCTCTCTTTTATATATAGAACTAGAACTGAGAGGGCACAAAATCTTTAGTTTATTTACCATATCATGAAATTCTTGCACTATGGAATAGAGGAAATTCTTAGATTTCTTTCGGAAACATGCCAATCCTATTGAAACTCTCGCTAGCTGTTCAATCTTTTCAATTTACCTTCCATGCATCTTCCCAACAAATCAACTGCATCTTTCCAACAAATCAACTGATCTCCTAATTGAACACGAATTAACTTCAAATTAGTCTCCAGAAGATTATTCATTTATCTATTAGTGAACAATCCGTACATCCTTGACTAAATATTTTCTATGACAAACAAATGATCATTGTTCATTTCAAAATTTATATGGCAATAAAATACTTTACTTGCTAAGATCCTTCAGCTCAAAGCAAATAAATAGTTGGCTATGAACGTTATTTATCTCATCAATATAATTACCAATTATAATCAAATCATCCACATAAAAGACAAATAACCTCAATAATTTCATTCTTTTATAGTAGCCAAAATGATACAAACAACACAACAACAACAGCAAGCCTTAATCCCACTAAGTGGGGTCGGCTACATGAATCCTTTTCTCCATCGCGTCCTATTGAATGTCATATTTTCATTTAATTCTAATATATTAAGATCATTTTTATACAATATGCCCAAGTCTTTCTAGGTTTATCTCTATGCCCAAGTCTTAATATGCCCAAGTCTTTCTAGGTTTATCTCTGCCTTTCTTAACATAAGTCAAATCTAAAACATCTAAATCTCCTAATCGGATTATTAAATCGTCGACACTTAATGTGACCAAACCATCTATGATGACCCTCTCTAATTTTGTCCACCATAGGAGCTACACCAACCCTATCACAAATATATTCATTTCACATTTTGTCTCTAAGCATAAGGCCACTCAACCACGTAAGCATTCTCATCTTGGCAACACTTAACTTAATTTTATGTTTCTCTTTTAAAGGCCAACATTTTGTGTCATAGAGCATCGTAGTTCTCACCACCATTTTATAAAATTTTCCATTCAGTCTGAGTGGTACTTTTCTATGACACAATATTCCCGAAGCATTCCTCCACTTCAACCAACCAACTTGATTTCTACTAATAACATCCCCATCTATATCACCATCACTTTTCACTCTATATCACCATCACTTTGAACAATAGACCCAAGATATTTAAAGCGTTCACACCTTTTAATAATTTAATCATCCATAGTTACAATTCTGTCACTAGAGTTACTACTGTTGAAATTATATTCCATGTATTCAGATTTAGTTCTACTCAAAGGAAGGTCTTTAGACTCCAATGTAAACCTACATAATTCAAGTTTTTCCTGAGCTCTTTCTCTAGACTTATCCACAAGAATGATATCATCAGTGAAAAGCATACACTAAGGTACTTCCTCCTATAAATGTCCAGTAAAAACATCAATAACTAAAGGAAAAATATATGGGCTTAAAGCCGATCTCTGATGTAATCCAACTGAAATAGAAAAATATTTGGTCAATCCCCCTTCTGTTCGAACACAAGTAACAATGTTCGAACACATATCTTTAATGACTTGAATATAAGTCATATCAACAACTTTCTTCTCTAGAACTCTCCAAAGGATTTCTCTTGGAACCTTATCATAAGTTGTTTTTCTCTTAAGGATTTCTCTTGGAACCTTATCATAAGTTGTTTTTAAATCAATAAAATCATATGTAGATCCTCCTTATTTTCTGTGTACTTCTCCATCAAACTTCTCAATAAATATATAGCTTCCATAGTAGATCTGTTCGACATAAATCTAAACTGATTATAAAAAATCTTTGTAATATGTCTTAACCTATGTTCAATTACCCTCTCCCATAATTTTTAAATACGACACATCAACTTAATTCTGCTATAATTTGCATACTTTTGTGCATCGCCTTTATTCTTAAAAATGGGGACCAAAATACTCTTCCTCCACTCCTCGAGCATCTTTTTAGTTTTAAAATAATATTAATTTTTTAGTTTTAAAATAATATTAAAGAGTTTAGTAAGCCAAGAAACTCCCAAATCTCCTAAATATTTCAACACTTCACTTGGGATATCATCAGGTCCGATATTTCTTGAAAGCCTTCTCAACTTCTTTTTCACTAATGTGGCGGTAAAAATGAAATATTTTATTACTATTAAACGATAAACAATTTTATAATAATTTGTGTGGCAGTGGGATTGAAATTATCCTCATGATAAATTTTATATAAAAATGGTGATCTTAGTGCATGAAGCTCCTCCTATATCCTAATATATGGTGGAAGGGGTTGATTTACATAGTCAATTCCATGCTTTTGGGAAAAACCACTAGCTGCGACGCAAGCTTTATTGTAGTCAAATGATCCATTACTAATTCGCTTAACACGCTTCTAGTCTGATTAAAGCAATTGGGTCTCTACTTATTAATATAGCAGCACCATAACAACAATCAATGGAACATCAATCCCAATTACAATACCTGTCATTAAGGTTTTTCTTTCTCTATGAATGTTGTTGAAAAACAATAGAGGGATATGATACAGAACATAGGGCTGTGAACAAGCCGAGCTTGAGCGAGCTCAGGCTTGACTTGTGTTCGGCTCGTTCAAAATAGCTCGTGTTTGAAATCGACTCATAAACAGTGTTTTCATGTTCTGCTCGATTTAAATATTCGTGTTTGTGTTCGGCTCGAAATTGGCTCGTAAAAATTAAATTGAAAAAATAAATGTAAAGTGTGGGATTCGAACCTTGATAAAATATATACAAAAGAAGACACTAACCACATTACCGCACGACATGTTATGATATAAACATAGATATAAATATATATAAAATATTATTATATAAATAATGTATGTAATATATTATTATATAAATAATTATATATATTTTTTAATTTCGAGCTAAAACGAGCCGAACACGAGCGAACAAAGAGTTGTTCGTGTTCAGCTTGTTTATAATTCGAGCTTTAAAAACTTGTTCGTGTTCGGCTCATTTACTTAACGAACGAGCCGAATATGAGCTGTTCGCGAACAACAAGTTTTTTTGACAGCCCTAACATAACATTTGAGAACGATGCATATGTTGTCTGTATTTCAGGTGTATGCACCGCGCCTGGATGATCCAGGAAGTAGAACATTTGAGCGGTGCTCCACCGACACTTACGACATAGCGGGGCCATGTGGCTACGGCATTTGCTATCTCTACTTATGGCGAGACGGCCCCGATGGCTGGATCCCTGAATGGGTGGAGGTCTATGATCCCTATTATGGCCGCTATCTTACCTTCTACTATGGCTCTCCCATCCCCTCTGGAGTTTGGTATGGCTTCAACAACTGCAGGCGCATCAACACGAATGCCACCACAACCACTGCTACCAGCGAAGCGGTGACAGCTTCACATGATGAGTGACTTCTCTTCTTCTTACTGTATCTATCATGTTTTTATGTGATGTTGTTCGGGGGAGGAGGATTTTGAAGGAATTCAAATTCCGACCTTTCTTGCTTGGAGTTCTCTGATCAGCCTTAAATGATATATGAATGTCATACATTCATCATGATGAATAATTTCTCTGGCTAAGACAACGAATAAATGTATTCTGTATAATGTTTAATATACGTTTTCTGGCATATATCCTACACTATAGATTTGGATTTGTGATGCCAAATTTTCATGAGTTATACGTAACGTTAATAATTATCAGATTCAGTTGCTTGCATGTCCTTCATTTGGCATCATAAGAATAAGCTTTGGCATAACTGATAGTCCGCCATCAACTTGTGGTATACGGGATCCAAATCATATGAGCTTCTTTAAAAAAAATATGCAATGCGAGGATGTTTTAATTATGTGCTTGGACACAAAACAAAGAATTCAAAGATGCCGAATTCGAGCACTCTCCCTACGTGAAAATATGATATGTTTCTATTGATTTTTGTTTAGCATTCAGATTTGTGATCGCAAATAAAGAGAGAAAATTATAGACATATCACTCAAAATATTATTATTATTATTATTTTTAAACAATCAATTATGTGTGCTAAGTTCAAACCGTTAACAGTGAAAATTTTGGGTTAAAGTTTTATTATGAATTTTAATATTTAGGTACGAATTTGAAAAATAGAAATAGAAAGGTGTTGATTAAAATAGCCAAAATTTGATTGTTATATATGTAGCTGCCTCAATAAATAAATCTTATCAAATAGGGAATGAAGATATAGAAGAAATATTACATCAGTACTACGCACGTAAAAATAAAGTGCGTAGCCAATCAAAACATGCCACGACATCTCGCGCGGTAGAGCAAAAAAAACGGCGCAGTAACACGGGGAATATTCCCGCGTGTGTTATGCATGTGTTATTGCACGTTATTCATGAGTTATTGTGTGTTATTCATGTGTTATTGATGTGTTATTGTGTTATTATAACATCAAGAATATTTTCAGAATACAATAACACATGAATAACACACAATAACACTTGAATAACACGGGAAATATTCCCGACAGAGAAAAAAACGGCGCAGTAACACGGGGGAATATTCTCTCTCGTGTTATTCTTGTGTTATTGTGTGTTATTCATGTGTTATTGTATCGTTATTGTGTTATTATAACATCAAGAATATTTTCAGAATACAATAACACATGAATAACACACAATAACACTTGAATAACACGGGAAATATTCCCGACAGAGAAAAAAACGGCGCAGTAACACGGGGGAATATTTTCTCCCATGTTATTCTTGTGTTATTGTGTGTTATTTAAGTGTTATTCATGTGTTATTGTGTTATTATAACACCAGGACTATTCTCATGATACAATAACACATGAATAACACACAATAACACATGAATAACACGGGGAGGAATATTCACCGTGTTACTGCGCCGTTTTTTTTCTGCGTCGCGCGGGATATCGTGGCGTGATTTCATTGGGTACGCACGTTCCTCTACGTGCGTGGTACTGATGTAATATTTTTTCTGAAGATATAACATTCCCCTAAAATAGTTTTTTGAAGGAATTCATTGTAGGATTTGCTTGCTCCCTGCAGTTTCATATGAGCTAAATATGAGTCGAAGTATGAGAATATGCGAATTACTGTTGATAGTTTGGTTGATCTTGACCTTCAAGTTAAGATTAAGTTACTGATTGCATATCTATAACACTAATACCAAGAGTTCTGCAAGTAATTTCCTACTGAATGAACAATGGAAGGTTAATTTGTTATCCATCACAAATAAAATGACAGAATGACGAGTTTGTTAAGACACATAAGGTTTTTAGTTTAGTTTTACATCAAATAATTAAAAATTAAATTATACATAAACACTAAACTTTTGTTGTCTGCATTAGTTATGCATTCTTATTTGCATGTAGAACAAGTAATGGGAGCTAAAGGCTCACTAAAAAGCTCCTGTAGTTCCTAAGAATCAATTACCAAAACATCAATCACAGTATAAGAATATCAGATCATTTCTCATCTGATCTATGCCACGGGTTTTATTTCAAAGCCAAAAAAAAAAAAACGCTGAATAAGCCTTTTTTTCAAACTATGGACGCCTGGTTTTAATAGGATTAAGTTCTATACTTGACATTTTTACCATAACAACTTGCAGAACATAATTAAAGACAGGACCTTTAGCTGAGAAAATAGAAATATTCTATATAAGAAGTAGAACATGTGAGTTTCAGGTGAAGTATTCCATCACACATTAACCAAACCAATGGCACATTTATAGTTAACGTTCTAATCATCAAATGTGCTCATAAAGCCACCAATAAAGCCAGCACCATTGCAGTTACCGCATAAGATATCCCGTTTCCCCCTGCAATAATAAAAAAAAAAAAACAGATAATGACAGATAATGACTGAACAAAAAAAAAAAAAAAAAACAGATAATGACTGAACAAAAAAGAAACCTCTACGGCCTCACTAATAGAATAAGCTATACACATACAAATTTCAATCGAAAAATTATATATGCATCTAAAAGAAAATTTGGAAGATTCAATGCACTTATTTTGGTCGATCAAATGGTGTACCTGCAAAGCCAGCATAATTCTCCAGCCTTAAATTGGCCATTGAAGTGATCAACAGAGTTTACTCCACTTCCTTTGCATTGCTTGCATAATACTGCACCTGTAAAATTTTAGTTTTAGGAACATCAACCTTTTAGCACTTCAAAGATTTAGCAAGAGAGTAATCTGCCGAGGTCTGCAGTAACAATGAGCTCATCTATTTTCCAAAACAACTTTCCGGCTTCAGCAAAAGATAATACAGAGATAGCGCTACATAGATTAAAACCATGTCCAATAAATATTTTCCCCAATTATCTGCACCTCTTATCTCCTTCCCTGTGTTACCCTCTCCTTCCTTAGTTTCAGCTGCCTTGTGCGCTCGGATGCTACCAAGTTCCTTCTACATGCGATATTTCCTGCTATAGTTAAAATTCGATATTTTAACATGGTTGGACTCAGACGACTGGTTTCCTTCCTGGCTTTGTTCTATAGCAAAGCTCAGTAACTAGTATTTTGTGTAATTTCTCGTTGGTTTTTTTAATTTATTATTTTATCATTACTGTTTTTTTACTTTATTGTATTTTTTAAGTTAACATATAAGAAAATAAATTGTGTGCATTAAGCAATATTTGATCTGTAAACCCTAATTATTTTTTGTACCATCTTCAACCATTGCATCACCCTAATTGCATTATTGTAGACAAGGAGTTGTCAGCACGAATCTCGAGAAGATCTTATGGTCCAAGAGAAAAGACCATAAACTCAAGAGGGCCCAACAAAAAATTGATTGGCAAACCAAATACCCAATATGACACAACGAAACCGAGGCCACATAAAACCGCACGAGCAGTCGAAGTACTATCAGCCCGAGCGGCTCATTCAGACGATAGGTAAAAAGTCACTCAAATTTATCATTACGGCGAAATCAATCCTAGGGAGAATCGATCCCCCAAGATTGTCATGTCAGAATCATTCGACCGTCTCTCCCAATGATATCAAGTGCATATAACATGTCTCAACCATTCTGGCAGAATCTTCTAGTTTAAGGGAAAGCTATCTATTGGATTACGGGAAGTCACCCTCTTAGCCTGAAGGTCTATCTTCATCTTGTCGACAGAAGCTCCCTGGTGGGGATGGAGGATCGATCAAGGACGACGACCAGACTATGCTTATTGATCATCATAATTCAACAGACCATATCAGTTCCATCGACCCACGATCAGCGAGCCGACCAGTAGTATAAATTTATTTGAGCGGCGACATCGTCGCATCCAACCGACCTGCAAAACTCATCAAAGCCCTATTTAGTCCAACCGACCGAGCCAAAGAGCAATGAGACACTAAGCCCATAGGGGTAAAATACTTAGCCTATACAACCCCTAATTAAGTAGGGGCATAAATGTAACTTCATATGTTATACCCCATTTGTCAATAAATAGGGGAACATTTCATGAATAAAAGGTTATACAGTTCACTCATTCTACTGTTCATTACTGTGCAATCTCTTTCTCCCTCTCTCTCTCTCCTGTAGTATGCTCTATTCCATACGTATGATTCATGAGACAGATTCAAATTCAACAATTATGAACTTAAAATATACTTATGAATGAATAGTACTTAGCCAAGCTATTATTCTATGCAACAAGAATATGAAAATTAAGTATAAAATTATATTCCAAGAATTGACAAATAATAAGACATTAAAGAATATTTAAAGTGGATCAATAATTTAGAAGACTTATTTAAATATTGCCGACCTATTTGATTCAGGAATCGTTAAACTCTTTAGCATAAAATTAATGAGACATGCTCGATGTTATAGGAATAGTGATGCTAATTCAATAAAATCAATATGGTTGATATCAAACATAAACTTAAAAAAGAAATTTTGGTCCTTTAGAGAATATAGGGTATCATTATGAGTTTTAGGACTAAAAATCGAGAAGGATAAAATCGAGGAGGATACATAACGCTAGGATGATTGATGGTCAATACTACAACAACAATAACAAAAACAAGCCTTTATCCCACTAAGTGGGTTGGCTACATGAATCCTTTTTCTCCATCGTGACTTATTAAGTGTTATATTTTCATTTAACTCTAATAAATTAAGATCATTTTTTATACAATATGCCAGAGTCCTTTTATGTATGTCTCTACCTTTCTTAACATAAGTTAAATTTTAAAACAACTACTCTCCTAACCGGATCATCAGATGGTGCGACTTTTAATGTGACAAAGCCATCTAAGACAATTCTCTCTAATATTGTTTGCCACTGGAGCTAAACTAACCCTTTCACATATACATTCGTTTTGCATTTTGAAAATGTCTATTTGACAACAAAATCGCTATGGTAGTGTTACCAAGTAAAACTATTCTAAATAACGAATAATGCTTTGACATTTTAAACTATGGCATCCAGGTTTCCATATCTTGAATATCTGTTTCATTATTTGAATTTTTCATATTTTCTATCTTTAAATATGAAAGGTTTCATTAATCTATTGAGTTATTGTGCCACTTTCCTTACAAAACCCTATTATGCCGCTAAAACCTTTTACTTATTTGTAGTGATGCATGGAGTGCCCCAAGATTACCACCATATTTGTAATAAAAAGTATTGTTTCACATTAGGCTTATTTTCAAAATTATATTTCAAATTTTTTTAGCATAGAAGTTCCGGGAAGTCATGCCACATAACACATATCATGGCGTGCGTTATTTTAAATGACTTAAAATATTTTAAAAATATTAAAAAAATAAATAATACTAAATTACAAGATAAAAAAACATGATAATAAAAATAATAGAAATAATATTTAAATTCAAGTGTTCAATACATTAATCGTTTAATATTCAAAATAATATAATTTTTTTTACAAATTTAATATTTTGATAAGCAATTAAATTAATCATCTAAGCCATTATCATCATCATTCCAAGTCAAAAAAAAGTCTGGTTTTTTTCTTCAACATCATATAACCTTATATGAACTTCATCATCATTTTGATCAAACGAGTGAAGCTCACTATTGTGGGTTCCATATATGTATACAAGTAATACATCTATGCATGTATGTTTATTTGTGTGTGCGCGTGCGCGTGCGTGTGGGTGTGTGTGTGTGTGTGTGTGTGATATATATATATATAGTGATATATATATAGTGAAATTAACATGCATACCACACAATTCTTATATATTTATATATTCAACACCTTAAATTTAATATTTACATATAACAAATTTTATTGCTTAATCACATCAAAATATATTCATGAAAAGGTGAGTTTTATTTAAAAAAAAAAAGTATTAGTGATATTTTTTTGTGATGTCAAAAATTTGAGTGCTATATAAATATTAAAGTTTACATAACATCTATGCAAATATGTAAGAATTGAATTGTACAAACATAAATTTCTCTTTATTTTTTTCATAATAAATCTTGAAAATCAATTTAATATGTGTCATGGGAGCGATATGTCACGCATCATTGCCCATGTATGACACAAATGGCGCACACCATTTTGGTGCGCCGTACCATGCCATGCAAAGGACGTTGAGGATATGCCACACAGTTTCATGGGTCACCGCGCACACCATTTTATGTCATTGACACGTATGCCAAATCCCTAACCAAACTCATTCTCTCATCTCCACACTTTTCTTCAAAGCAAGAAAATGTTCAATATATAGAAAATGAAAGATATCCTAGCCAAATTTCCAAATAGTAATGAATCGGGAACATAAGAAAAAAATACATGCAAAAAAATAACCTATTCCTATATCTGAGCTTCAAGTTACATAGAGGACTTCAAAAATAGATAAAGACTTCAATCCATTCTACCATAAACTCAATCTAAACTTCTAGAAACAGGTCAATTCAATATATTAGATTCTCTTGCAAAATATTTATATTATGAGATATTCTTCAAGTTGCATAAAGCATTTACTTCAAAAACATCACCATGTTTGCACCTAGAACTATTAAGGAAGCCTTGGATGATCCAAACTAGAGATTAGCAGTAATTAAATAAATAAATGCTATGGAAAAGAATGGTACATATGAGTTAGTAAATAAGTCTAAAGACAAAAATGTTGTAGGATGCAAATGGGAATTTAAAGCATAGTGCAAGGCTGATGGTAGCATAGAGAGGGATAACAATAGACTTGTAGCAAAAAGATTTTATGCAAACCTTCAAAATTGAATAAATTGACGGTTAAAAAACCTTTGCTCTATTTGTCAATATAAACTTTATAAAGATTGTATTGTCCTAAGACACGAATTACAATTGGCCCCTATATCAATTGTATATAAGGCATGTCTTTTAAATAAATATTTAGAAGTCTAGCTGAGCACAACTCAAAGGCTTAAGTAGAAGCTTGATGAAGATAGAGTTTTCACAAATCAAAATATGAATCTTAAACAATCCCCTTGGATGTGGTTCTAATAATTTGGGAAGTTGTAAAAGATGATAGGTGTTATCAGAGCCAAGCTGACCATACCACCTATAACAAACAATCAAATGTAAAGCTACTTGCTAGAATTAGTGATCCGGTCAATGTTGACCAATACCAAAGACACATTGGATGACTTTTCAAATTATCTCATACTCATCATATCATAACATTTGTTAGGAGCAGATCAATTCAATTCATGCATTCACCAAGGTAGAATCATTTTGAAACAACATATGAAATCTTAAGGTATCTAAAACTTAATAAAGGTATATTATTTTAAAAATAGCGACGCATTCAAGTAGAAGTTTATGCATGAGCAGACAATTTTGGAAGCATTACATATCTAAAAACCACCTCTGGCCATGATACATTTATTTGCGGAGATTGGGGTAATGGTTTTTTTTCCCCCTCACACTGTGGTCACTTTGAACAGCTCAATCACAAGTGAATCTACAGTTGTTTCCCCCATCCAATGTTGCTCGCTCAATTCATTGCCAGTGCTCACCATTGACACTCTCACTCACTAGCTCAATCATCCTCTCTCATTTTTCACTGTTTGGACTCGAAGCTGTAGCCAAATCGAGCCTTAAACTCGCTCAATCCTAGTCCCGTATGTATGTGTACTTGTTATGCGGCTAAATCACCATAAATAGCAATTACTTTACATGAATCCACTTAATCAACTAAATTAGCCTAGAGATAATAGTGCTAATTATCATTAATTATTCATTATATAAAAAAAATATTCTTTGTAAACAAATTTACTTTGAATGGCTTGATTATAAAATTTAATTACCCATTCATGATTCTTAATTATTCATTATTTTGTAATGTCTTTTGGGTTATTGAAATTCTAGAATCACTTTGGCCTACTATTTCTGATTAGAATTCCATTATGTTTTTCAAAGTTTTATTAAAAAATAAAGTAACATTTTCCACAATCATCAAAACTTTCAGTAATTTTAAAATTATTATTTGGCCTTTTTCCCATATTGGGTGAGAAACAACATCAACAATTCTAAACCTTCAATTTTCAGAACTTGATTTGTATTTGTCTGAGTACAACTGCTTCCTTGTTTCAAATCATAACGTTTGTGCAACTTTCTTTCCCCTTGCTTCAACAAAGACAACACTACGAGGTGGTAATCTTCCACCATCTTTCTTTTGTGATTTCAATCCACAATTAATTTCCACTCATGATCATTGAATTGATTCAAATCTTGGCCGTACAGAGCAATGAAGTAACATGTTACATTCAATTTTATGTTGATGATTTGCACAAAGAGAGAAATAGTGCTAGAGCCTGATAATTCAATGGTCGTTGGTGGATTGGTCATACTAGATTCGGATGTGGATTGGACATGGTAAAGTCTGCTCGAAGAGAGGTCAATATTGAAGAGACAATGTAAGAATTCCATGCTATAGTACCATATAGAAAATGAAGAGAGAAAAAGTTATGTATTCATAGGTAATGTATCTATTACCTATTCTAGTAGATGAAAAAATGGCATGTGCAAATGGAAGAAATAAACCAAGGGGGATTTAAACACATGCACCCAAAATATTAGAATTTACATAAATAACATCTAAATATCATTATTTACCTAATCTAGCACTTTGTTAATGAAGTTAATAGATCTTGGTGGACATGAGGAGAGAGGAGGAACGGTCGGATTTAACTGTGACTAGCATGGACGTTGGCTGATATAGATGAATCGGGTAGAGGCAGCTTGAGGTGGGCAGGCAAGTTCTTGTGATCTAGGTTGGATGGTAGCCAGAGATTGAGAAATGATGGAAATTGGAGAAAGTGAGGGAGATGGAGTAGATCCACTGTGAGTCAAGCTAGAAAAGAGAATATGGGCTTGGTGATCATGGATTCATGGTTTTTGAGATGACTTGAGCAAATCTAGAGGAAGAAAACTAGCTTTGCAGTGAAACTTTCAGATTTCATGGATTTTTGCCATTGATGACCTCTCCCTCGTTGTTGTTGAAGTGATTGGGAGAAGGTGCTGAGGTTGTCATTTTTGTTATTATTTAAAAGTGGGCGTTAACTATAATCCTAATGTTTTCAAGATTAAACCAAAAGTAGGGAAAATAATTAATATGCCAAATATGTCAAGATTTCATCCAAGAAAAAGCAGGAATAATTCCAAACTAGGCACAGGTCATAATAAAACCACCTGGTTTTGAATCAATTCCAAATTCTTTCCATCAGAAACAAGTCACAACAACGCCGATGAATTGACTCACTTCCAAATTCTTTCAAACACTTTGCATCATTTTAGTGCCCAACATTTATATTAAGTAGTAATTTCCAACTGTCAGTTTCAAGCTACAAACATAAAGAAGCAGTTTGATAATTAGCTCACCATTTCCATCACAGTCGCTGCAAACAATGCTATTTGGTTTTGTGCTTGGGTTAAAACCCGCTGCCTGTAAGAGGTACACACAAAGATTAGAGTTACATGGATAATCCAAAAAAAGAAAATGTACTTTCAATGCAAGATACAGACTGCCTTAGCGGAAAATAGACCACCTAATTTCCATTTACACATCCATTTTTAGGATTTTCCCAATTTTACGCGCCGCTATAAAATGAAACTCATCTTTCATCGCATGCCAAATCGCCAATAAAATAATCAGGATTATTTCCTCCTTTATCTTCATGGCCACTTGTATTTTACTAGAAAGAAAAACAAGCCTCTTGCTCGCCTTGGCGTAGAAACGGCAAATGAAATCTCGGAAATTACAAACCAAAGGATATATATATATATATATATATATATATAATCAGAAAGAGAAGGAAAACTTACATTAACTCGGAAAGATTGTACATTTGAATTAGGGCTGGAAGCAGATAAGGGTTTATGCAGGCTGTGGTTTTGGAAGGAAACCTTGTAGTCGGGAATAGGAAGAAAGTATGGGGAAGCAATAGAATATTTTGTAGGAGGAGAGATGAGGATGGAATTGGCGCAGGCGAAGCATCCAGCACTGATCATCTCTACTTCACCGGAAGAACGGACGCGGCGCCACTAAAGGAGTGAACTTGCAAGCTCCACTTTGCCTTAGCCGCTGTCTGGTACGCTCTGGGCGGCTGACGTGCACAGAGTATTATTGGGGACTGAGGGAACCGAGAACCAGAAGTGGATGAGGCTGTCTTTTTTCTGGTTTACCCCCGGGCTTTGCCATTTTATGAAAATACCCTTTTTTCATCCACCCAACGGCAACTGGAAAGGGTATTAAAGGGAATTAACAATTCATCTTTGTTGAAAATCAGATACCTCAGAGAATCAAACACGGCCTCGGCGAGCGTATTCCTACGATTTCTTCGCCTACTCGACTCCATCAGAGCTATTTTCCCCCTTCATTTCGAATAAAAAGGTCAGTGTTTCGCATCTATTTTCTACACTCCGACTTTGATTTATCACTCTTTTCGCAAAATCGTAGAGCTAAAAAATTGTTTCTGCATGCTCTTACATATAAAAAAAAACCATTTTTTTTTTCAAATTTGGAGATCGATGTTCCCGAATTTAATAAACGCAACGTGTAAAATTTACTACTTTCTATTTTGTCCCACGCAAGTTTTCTAATCTGAAAATTGATTTCTTGCGTTTAAACTGGCCTGGATTTACAAGCCGGTGTCTGATGTCTGGTCTCTGGCCACCTACGTCCCAAAATTGCAACAATCTCCCGGAAAGGGAGAACTTTTTCTCTGGTAAGCACTTCTGCATGGCTATTATCCAAGTTCCTGTTTTCTATGTTTTAACTATGAAAGAAGAGCTCAATAAAAATCTCCGTGGTATTTCTTTCTTTCTATGATAATATACTGTCATGCTTACGGGACTGAGACCATTGCTCTAATGTTTTGCTAGTAAAGTTGTGAGCATGGCTGCGAGCTCCTGTGATACATTTAAAAAGAGCAGCAGGGATTTTTACATACCAACCACCCAAAACTTTAAGTATAATTTTTTTGCCACCTCAACATAACATTTATATTTCAACCACCCAAAATTTTATTTCCTTTTGAAAGTTCAGTCCATTATATTTGAAGTGTTGGGTGGTTTTGAGGTGTTTATAATCTGTTATATTTAAAGTTTTGTGTGATACTTGAGGTCTCATTTTGGAACATGATACGGTTGTGGTATACATACATCAGTATTAGTTCTCAAACGATGAAAATAATCTCTATACTCCAACTGAAGTGATGATGTTATTTTCACTTTTAAAACGAGTGAAAATACAGTAATCATTTTTTTAAATCTGTGGGCGCATTATGTGGCGTTGTTGGATGATTATGTGCAGTGCTTACATATATGAAGCTCATATGATTTTTCGACCTTAATTTATGAGACACATTTTCATATTGGAGATACCCTAAGCTGGCTTGGTCAAATTATCCCAAGGTCCTCAAAGAGGGAGTTAACATCAACACCTTGAGAGTGACTCTGGATCAATATGTCACCGTTCATATTGAAGCCCTCCCATATTAGTCAAAATCATGAGGAGCCCGAAAAAGATTTGGACTAGTTTCCCAAATTGATTGCGGTATCCCGTATTTTTTTAGTTGGTGAATTCAAAATTGGTCCCTTGTGTTTACTTTTTGAATGCGACTGTGATTGATTTTGATTTCATAAAGTGCAAATCACTCAAAAAGCAAAGCTCAACAAAAAAAAAACATTAACTTTTTGATAATTTGGGCTTACATCTTCCATGTCTAATTGAAATTGCATGATTTTTAAATGATTGATTTGTGAAAAGATTCTTTATAATTATCGTGTTTACTATCTATGTTAACTCTGATCTTTGGAGACGTGACTTGTTGATAAATCGAAAACTCTAGCAAAAGTCTCAAGAATCTCTCCAATCATTTTTTAGAAATTTAAAATTGCACCTTTAACTCTTATAAAAAATTTTTAATTATTTTTTTATTTGATGGGTTCATATATTGATCCCGTTATTTTTCATAATCACTGTTTAGGTCAATTTCAATTTGTTTTGGCGTGAAGTTCTAAAGAAACCACATAAATTTAAACCTTGCAAAGTTTTATCAATTATTTGTGCAGTTTCTCATTTTTTAATATAAATATGTGATTTTTTTTTAGCTGGATATGATTTTTTTAAACTTTCATGTTCATCATTGTGGTTGCTTCCAATCCTAAGTGGTGCAAATTATAAGTAAATTAAGACTTTCAATATACTATGCATATCTCTCTCATTTTTCATAGAAATGATATTATTTCAGAATGGTGATATGAGGTCATGATTTTGGCCAAATTAATTTAAGCTGATTACTTCACAATAAAAATTCAAAATTTTGAAAAGATCATGAAAAACACTTTTCATTGCGAAAGCTTGATTCACTGTTCATTCAGTTGAGGTATTATTCACTCTATTTTATCCAACGTTCGCATGTATATAAGGAAAGTTTCTTTTATAAAAGTAAATGGATTTAAATGAAAGAGTGTGTTAAATTTTTTTATTTTGATTGGAAATTTACCCCTTGAGGATAATAATGTGAAGCTCATAAAATGGTAATTCCAAAAAAAAAAAGGAAGAGTTCGTAAACTTAAGAAAAAGAATTTGAAAAGAGCCCAAATCAATCTCTTGAGATACGAGATTTCCTAAAAGTCAAGTCGCTCAACTGAACACCCACAAAATCTCTCTTTCAAGAGTGAACATTTCAATCTTGAAATTTCAGAATAGAAATTGATCTTCACTAACCTTTCAATCAAACAGATTTGAGATAGATAGAAAGGAGTCCAATCACTTTTTTTTACCTCAAATTTCTCCACACAAGATCTCATGAAAAAAAAGAAAAAAAAATGTGAAAAAGAAATTTTGACAACTTCTTAGAAAGAAAAAAAGAAAATTCTTTCTAAAATTTAGAAAAGTAAAAAAAAAAAGAGAAAGAAATCCAGAAGATCGGAGCAAAAAAGTGAGATTTCCACTTCATTTCTCAAAGCATCCCTGCTTGACCAAACCCCGAACCCAATGTGATCATTACAACCCAGGGCACGGACTTCTTGAAAGGATTGAAAAGATCAGAGGCGCTAGAAAGAAAATTTTCTCATTGAAGTCAATAAGTGGATTAGTGGATTTTTTTTCTTGCTTCCGTCCTAGCATATAAGTGAAGTGAAACGCTTCACGTCTTAGATCTATCTGTCAGTCAATACATGTGCTTTGTGAAGTTACTAGGAAGTAATCCTTCAACTCATCTTCGCCCTTTTTAGTGCAAGCTCTGGTATCAATTGCATGAACAGTTGAGTCAATTCCGAAAGTCAGTGCCAAAGGAGAGCTGACTTTAAGCAAGGCTATAGTGCGTTCCCAAGCGGGCAAGGGTAGAGAGTTTTTCTAGAGAAGGCGCTAGAGGCGCACGGCGAAGCAGTCCTATATTGCATGTAGGAAGGGAGATGGGTGGTTCAGGGCATACTTCGAAGTCACGTAAGGCATGACAAGTGGTCATGGTGAAGGAAAGCGCGTAGCGTCAGAGGGAACTGTGCCAGCTTCAATAAAATTGACGACGACTTAGGCCACTCTCTCCAAAGTTTCTAGGGTTCGTTCAAAGCTCATTTATTTTTTTTTTCCGGCTTGCTATTCAATTATAGTTTCACGACGGACAAAGCTTTTTGGGCATAATCTATATTGGATTTCCCAACTTATTAATAAAAGGACGAACACGGGGAGCCGAAGAATTACAGATGAATGTACAAAAAGAGTTTCATTCTGTAAACTAGAGACTCAATATTGCTATCACAAGAATTGAAAAACCTTACGGACAACCTAAAGCTTAGAGTACTAAAAACAAAGAAGTTTTGACATTAGGTTGGTCAACTGAGTACGGACCACTTTTCAAATGTCACTCGATATTGGTCCAGCCGCTCGCTGTAATAGCTTGCTTATTGGGTGGCTCGCACCCCTACCCTGGGTAGGGTGGTGCAGCTGAGCCAAAATGGGTGCAGCAGTCAGCCTATGTATCCGGGCACACTCATAAAGGCATGATTAGTTCCACGAATCTTACAAAGAACTAATTTCTTTTGGTCCGACTCCCTGGCTTCTGTTTTATTGTTTGTGCTTGTAGTCTTAATCATGTTCATCAAAACTCACAGGGGTTCATATTTTTTTCTTTATTCATATTAAAGTTTGTTATGTATTAATCATATATGTCTTTTTTGAAGTGGCAAGGAGGCACCTCTGACATTATTTTATTATTCTATTAATTTGTAGGTATAATATATAAGATCTTATATAGATCTTTCTTGTTGCAGTGTAAGATTTTTTTTTAGGCACAATCAATATAGGAAATGTTATTTTCCTTGTTCTGGCGAGGATCTGAATTTAACAACTACGTTGTGCGCCATTTATGCATGCATTTACTGGCATGTTAGGATTGGCAGCAAAAACGTGATTGCAATACTTTGTGCATCGTAGATGGAAAGGGATAGCACCACAATAAGAACTATCATACCTAAATTGTATGTCGAGATGGGAACTAAATTGGGGGACATGGTGTCTTGGCCGAGGTGCTAGTCCATTTCAATAATTTTCTGGAATACAACATTTAACCTAGAAACTAGTGATCATTTGACATCTTGACCATCTGGTATTCCATATGTTGGGAGGATGACTCCAGTTAGCTTAATCGAATGAGCAATGAGACCTTTGTTCTGACTAATTGTGATAAGATTAGGCATTATCCGGCTCATGTGACAATCCTAATTAAACAAAAGAAATGAGGTGTCACACCTCTCTCTTTCAATCGAAAAATTTTATTTATAAGGCTGAAAAGAGTGAAATTAACCTCTAATTCAATCACTATATAAATTTCCATTTCATCTTATCATGTTTCGGTGAGTTGTGTAAACATAAATATGATTGAGAAAGTCTAAGCATCTTTCAGTAGCAATGGTTGAGACGAGGTCCAGGAATAACGTAGCGGTAGAGTTGCCCAAAGAGAAGAGTAAGAGGCTATGAGATGAAGAGGAGGCAATGATAGCTACCATTCTACAAAAGGAAGAAGCTTTAATAGAGGTGAGAGCTAAAACTAGTTACCTTCAAACTGATTACTCTCTCTGGTATCCTCTACTCTCCTAATAAAGAGACAATGTTGTTGTGAAAAGTTTTTGGAGTTCAGCTTCATTCGACTGACCGGCTATTGAAAGATTACATTGACAGAGTTGCTTCATGTTGATGGGAATGCATAATAGTTCATCATTATTTATTATCACCCACAAGTCTTCATTACAAGCATTGCAGGTGGAAGGTAAGTCGTTTAAGAAGGAGATTTCAAAAGAAAATGAGCTATTAGCATAATTCACATCAAAATGTAGTTGTCCCAGGTTCTGAATTCTGTGGTTCTGGCATTAACACACCCAATGACAGCATCGAGATGCTTGATAATCCACAGTCGTTATTCATGCATCAATTGACAAGTCATGGACTTCATTTTAAGTCCATCATCATGAATTTGGGTTATAAGCGAGAGGTAAAACTCGTCTCATAAAGAACTACTCCAAGTGCCATATTTTAGTAGTTTCTCCAACTTTGCCTTTAGTATTTAACAGTCCTTCATATTGTGTCCATTTTTCTTATGATATAGGCACACCCAGTAGTTGTCGTGATTCTTAGCGTTATGTTAAAGCTACATTGGTCACTAAAAAATAGTGTTTTGCCTCTATGACCATAAAGATCTTGACCATCCTTTTTGAATTTGAGTAGCAAATGCTTTAGACTTGTACATCAAAAAGGTGTGGCTCTTTTCAATTTTGGGGGACAATATAATGATCTAACCAATAGTTTCCATCATATCTTTTTCATGAGAATGGTTTTAGGCACGAGGCTTATAATGGCAACTGGATCCAATCTATTCATTCCTTTTCTAGCGATCAGAAATGAGTTGTCAACTTGAAATTTGACAAATAAATTGTAGGAGAATCGCTGATCTCCATAAGATGCTAGCTCCAATTTTTATTCTAATGTTGAGAGGTTCTTCTTCATACTGAAATGTTTAAAAAATGAATTGTGAATGCCTAGGGAAAATGCCATTATTGTGATGCCCGCCTTAGAGTTTTGCAGCTCCATGCATGAACATATAGACTTAGTCCATGAGGAACACTCTCTCCATTAGTCAATTTTCAATAGTTATGTCAAAGACTACTTGGAAGTTGCATAGTTAGCCTTAAGCTAACGATGCAATTTAGCAAAGGATGTGATGCTACCAGATTGAAACTTTACAAACCGTCTTCATATGGTGCTTTTTTAAAATGGTGGAAAAAATTCAATAACGAGGGATTATTGGGTGCCTGGTGTTGTGGTAGCATTTTAGATTATGTAAAAGTTTGGGTATTTTGTCAAGCTTAACAATTGATAAAGTTAATTATAGTATGTTGAGAGCTGATATGTCTTGTAGCATGCTCAATTTCTTTTACATTTAACCATTATTTTTTATGATATTTCGCTTTAATGAAATGTATTTTTTTTAGTTTTTATTGCAGATATAACAGGTAGGATGATTGGAGCGGAAATGGAGTGAAACGAAGATGAAATGGAGCACTTGGGGAACAAGGAGCTTTCATTACACTAGCGCCGAGGCACTCTACCCTAGGGCCTTGGCGCCAGTCTAGCAGGGCCTAGGCGTCGGTCATATTTAGCAAAAAAAGACAATGGGGCCTTGGCACCAGTTCAGCGGCTCCTAGGCGTCGGTCTTATCCAGCAAACAGAGACAACGGGGTCTTGGCGCCAGTCATTATCTAGGCAAACAGAGAGAGTGGCGTCTTGGCACCAGTCCACCGGCGCTTAGTCACTTGAACTATCCTAGACGGTTTCCGTAGTTGATTATGCACGAATTTTGGAGTTAAGAAGCTAGGGAAGTAGTTCAAATGGAGAGGAGGATCATTGTGGTAGACTTAAAGAAAGTCTAAGGGTCCAGAAAACAAGAGTTTAGATCTAGGGTTTACATTTTTTTGCATTTTCTTAGAGAGATTTGAGAAAATATTGTAAAGGAATACTGTTATCAGTGCAAGAAACATTTGGAGATCACTTGGGGTGGAGTTTTCACTTCTTCTCTATTAGTAAGTTAAGTGTGTTTTTTTTATATTGTCTTGTATTAGTTGTAAACTCATTTTCTATGAATTTATTTTATTATAAAATGATGAATTGTAGTGTTTTCTTCATGTACTGTGAGTAGATCCTTTATACCCTTATATTATGATGAATTAGTAGTATGTATAGGATATTTGGTTATATTTAGAATATGTTTTTAATCATTAAAGTGAAGATTTTACTTTGTTCCTAAGTTACTTATCATTTTGGCCAAATAATATGTTAAAATCTATTGTGAATTCATAATGACTCGAGGGAGCTATGACTTTAACAACTATGAGAAATTACATTGCACTAGCGAGTGAAGGAAAAGTAGTCCATAGGGCAATGCAAATAGATAGGGAAATAGGCTTTGATGGGTTCAAATTGGGGGTTCTAGGGTGACACACAGAAACACTAACCAAGTTTGAACCAAACTTTTTTATGCACTCGAAAGAGGGTAAAGAAGAAGTTTGTTTTTATTTGTCACTTACAAAAATCTCTATTCTAAGTGTTCCATTCCTATACGTAATACTTATGTCATTGCAAGGGAAGGGTAGTTTTTATATCTTGATCTTTCTCAATTTAATTAGCTTTAGTAGAATTAACTTATGAGTAATTCGGTAGAATTAGTGATAGTTTAGTAGGATTAACAAGCATAACTTAGATCAACTATACTTTCAAACTAAGACACATTGTAGTAGGCTAGAACTTTTCTTAGGTGTTAAATCACAACATTCCCTATGAGATCGATAATTCGGACTCAAATACTTGTGTGAAAATCCTATTGTGTAGTGTTTCATTGTTGTTAAACTCAAGTTTTCAAAATTATATACCTATTTAAGATTTCAAATAGTTCATCCATGGGCACTAGGTTAGACCCAAGTAGGTCAGATCAAGAGCATTATACTAATGTTATAAGGTCTTGCTAGGCAACGAATGAAATTTAAGTTATAAGACGTAGTAAATTCCATAAATCTTGGATAAATTAAATCCCGAAAACCATCTGGCAATCGATTTGCTGAATTCTGTAAAATATACACAGTAAACTTAAATTTTTCGGTTCGCGAAATTTAGTAAATTCAGGATTTCAACCCTAAATCTATGAAATCTGGATTTATCAAATCCGCAGCTTTAGCTTGTCCAAAATGACCGTATTATAAGATTTACAAGATTTACAACTTAAATCCGGGGCTAAATCTGTTATCAGATAGCCCCTAAATGTTATTTATAGTTTTGTTTTGTGATTCATATAATTTTAATTAAATATGTTGATAGAATTTATAGGTTTTATTATGTTGTCATATTTATAAATTCTAATTCATTGTTGTGACTCAATATAAATTACTCATGTCATTGAAATATTGATTCGTTTATTTTGATGTGCCATAAAAACAGTCATGCGAAATTAGATGATATAAATGAAGTACTTGTGAGGTAAAAGAGCCTCATGATATAAGCTTAATAATTTGGAGGTAAAATGATACAAGGGTTGAAATTTATATATAGTGCTCTAATATATTATTATTTCAACCGCTTTATTCTAATACAAATATATCTATAAAATGTGAGTCTTATAGTGTAATTCATAACATACTTTTATCATTAGATTTTTTACTTTTATCATTAGATTTTTTACTAACATACTAGACTTGATATAACAAAATATTTGATATGTGTCAATATATTTAACATCAACTTCCTTTTATTATAATATGTTTAGTATTTCATAATATAACGACAAAAATTATCATTTGCATTACTTCTTTACGTCATATATTCATTGAAATTTTAAAATCAGTTTTGTGTAACATATTGAGATCTTGGTGCTCATTTTTATTTTCATCAATATGTAATATGTATTGATTTCAGAGAAGAAAATGAGCATATTGATTAGATCTTGCCGCTGGCCGTATGGATAACATGGAGGCGAGTTGAACGCCGTCTCGAACTCCAATAATGGCCACGTGTCGAGGCAACCCGAGTTGAGACCAAAGGAGATTTTGCAGATGTTTTCGAAAGCGAATCTTCAGAAAACGTCTTGAAGGTTGATGGGATCAGAAGCATCGGAGACTGACGAGATGAGGCGGAGAAGGCTATGGCTGACTTCAGCGGCGACTATTTCAAACCCGTGCATACAGATACGCTGCCGAGTTCAAGGCTCATTATTTGGCGCTAGAAACACCACGCATTTCCGTCGATATTGAATATGTCATTGCCGAGAAGATAGCTGAGGATGGAGAGGAGAGTCGTCCCGTTGCTGCCTTCCCCGCAGCGAGCCTGTTGTTTCCCGTCCGCCGCGCTACATCCCTGCACTCTGTCTTCGGGAGCTTCGTCAGACTTCCTACACAAAGAGTCGACGGGGAAATGCGTTAAATGATATGTTTTGACAAGGCCACTTTAATCATTTATATAAATTTTCTCCTCATATCCCACGATCACATAATTTTTGCATCTGTATGCTCTGCCGTCACCAAAGACGTGTTTCATCAGAAAATCTGATCGGAAGTTGGAACTGTAGAAGAGGAAGAGGAGATTCAAAGTTCAATGATTTAATCAGGATTGTATGAGAAGTTTAACCGGAAAATGTGATAAACATAAAAAAATATATATATTAAATAATAAAACCTAAAAGATAAAATTAATAATTGGTGTATGCACAGTTTGAAAAAATATAGTATGAAATATAAATCTATTTTACCATAATTATTTCAATAAATCAAGTTGAAAAATAAAAATTACAATCTTTTTTATCCCCAAATGGAAAATTCGACCCCCAAAAATTAACTAGCAATTAAAAATTTACATCCAAATTTGTTATAAGCAACTATAAATATAAAAAAACAAAATTTAGGTGTTAGATATGTAACCTGAAACGAACTGGCTTTATAAAAAGATAATAATAATAATAATTAAACCCTAAAAAGATTTGGCTCTCTCTTAAATTTGCTTTCTTGGAGAGAGAAAGAAGGTAAAGGAAGATACTTTCCTCCGACGAGGGCGGCAAACCGGCTGCGCCGGATTCGCGAAAATTTTGGGCGCCGGTTGGGTCTGATTTTCTAAACTTTGGTTTCTAGCAGGAAAAAAAAATTATTATTATTATTATTTTTGTCGGAATAATATCGCCGGACTCGTTGACTACATCTCTGCGAATCTCTTCTTCTTCCACGGGTCACCGTCCACTGCGAATCTCTTCTTTGGCTTCACCGCCGGTTTGCGTCCTCTATTTTTTAATCATCTCATCTTCTCTTTGATTCAGATCTACATATAAATCGCCTAAATGTTTCTAATCTTTGACTCCATCCTGTTTTTTTCTGAAATTGTTATATATTAGTTTCTGAAAGTTCGTCCCTCTCCAATCTCCAACTCTAATGACCAAGGCTTTTCCACCGGTGGCTAAAGCTTCGGCTTTCAAAGGAGGAGACTTTTCTCCCAGAGGCTTGGCAAGAATAGCAAGTAATCATCCCGTTCCAGCCTGTTTCGCCATCTCTCTCTTCTTCTTCATGGGTGTGGAGTACACGCTTAAGATGGTGCCTTCTTCTTCTCCTCCAAAAGATTTCGGCTTCCTCCTCACAGAGAATATCCATGGCTTTCTCAGAGCAAGGCCTGATTTCAACTCCTTCCTTGCTGCCCTCAACACCGTAAGAGATGTGCTTTTTTATTTATTTATTTTTAATTCAAACAAATCTCAATGGAAGAACATACTTTGCTAATTACTGTCTGGAATTAAGTTTCTAGGTATTTGTGGGAATGCAAACAGTTTATATAGTGTGGGTTTTGTTGGTGGAAGGGAGGCCACGAGCAACAATTGCAGCTCTTTTCATGTTTACTTGCAGAGGTGTCATGGGTTACTTTACTCAGCTTCCATTGCCGCATGTGAGTAGTTTCTCAGGTTTTTAAAATTAAAATTATATGCTATCTTTTCAATTCAATTTTAGTCTGTTGTTTCTTGCTTGAAATTCAAATCAACAACTTTGAATTTATTATATATAGATGTATTTGACACAATATATAAGCAAATTGTTGGTTCCACTTCCTTAATTACTAGTTGTTTTATAATCTTTCTTTTCTATACATCCAACATAATTCTACTTTGTATCAGCTTTAAGGTGCTCTAATAATTGGACCTTTTCTTGTAAATCAAGAGTTGCAGTACTCAATGTAATACTGTTGTTAACAGGAGTTCTTGAGCTCTGGAGCGGACTTCCCTGTGGGAAATGTATCCTTCTTTCTCTTCTTCTCCGGCCATGTTGCCGGAGCAGTGATTGCATCGCTTGACATGAGAAGGATGAGGCGATGCTGGCTGGCCTTGTTGTTCGATCACCTCAATGCTCTCCAAGCGCTTAGGCTGCTGGCCACAAGAGGGCACTACACCATTGACTTGGCTGTAGGCCTAGCCGCTGGTTTCTTTTTTGATATGTTGGCTGGAAAGTATGAGGATTGGAAGAGTCATACTGTGCCTTAAAATATTTCTACCAAAGGGCAGATTGTTCATGTTGCAACTGCAACTAGATGAGTCCCTCTTTATGTTGCACACTTGTATGGGTGAATAGAATAAAGTTATTTGGGTCAGTTTACTTGGATGTTAAAAAGGTTTGTTTGGTATGCTATTATAGGCATGATTTTAGTAAGACTTGACTTAAAAAATTGTCAAGCAAAATTTTTATAAACTAAGAGTCTACTGTTTTGATAAATTCCATCACAGGCTTGTTATTGATTGAATTCATTATTTGTTAAATTTCATCAGCCATATATGATTTACAGAATTTAAAATTCATTGCTCACATAAATTTTAAATCCTGTTATAAGTAACCAAAAAAAAAAAAAAAACACAAGACCTCATCCTCTTCCTCTCTTTTCTCTACATCGCTCTTCTTCTTTCTTGTCCTCTTAAGCTTCCTTTTCATTATTAAGGTAGCAATTTAACCTATCCTTTTAACAAAGTAGGTGGGAGAATGGTTGGTTGACTATCTTATTTATAGTAAATTAATTCATATTACTAGCTATTGTTGTGGTTAAATTAAACCAGTTTAGATGTTAGTTGAATATATGAACTAATGCTTGTACTTTAATAGCATAGATTTTATATTGTAAATCATAATGATTAACCTGGGTTGGTGATAAGGTAACTTAGGTTGATTAGATTGCACATAGTCTAGTAATTATTGGTTTTAATTATCTATAATTAAGTATTGTTGACTGATTAAAACTTGATATGATTTATGATTTAATTATAATCATGTGTAGCCTCCTTGAATTTTGAGAGAATGTGGGTTTGAGTGCTACAACCTAAGATAGGTAATTTTTATTTATTAGTGGATAAACACTATTCTTTGTTAAAGACGCAATTCTTTTTTTAATATATTTATAGATATTTATACACTGTCAATCTTACCATCATCACTCAATCATTTGTTATGCTCATGAATTTCTTTAATTTCATGTTTATCTAAAGTAGCAAGTTACATAGATGAGTTTTATCTTGAATTATTAGGGAATAAATTCTCATACCATAATTTTGATTCAGTAGTAAAAAGATATGATTTTATGACGTTATTTCTATTTATTGCAATAAATTTTATTCCTTCAAATTATATTTTATTATAAAACTAAAAATTATCATATTGACTATATCATAACATTGCAAAACCTATTTATGAAATATACAAGAATTTTATGCTTGTATGCATTAGTGAAGGTTGGTATAATCTTTTTGAATATTGGTTAGTCAAGCCAATAGATCTATATGGTGATGATTAAAGTGGAAATCACCGGATCCAGTTGTATGTGTTTATCTTTTTGGTTTCAGTGTCTTGATAAAACCCGTTATTTTTATATAAATTAAAATAAAATGGAATAATAAATAAATGATTAGTTATATTTAGATATGCATGATCAAACCTGATATGACTGCGTATAAAGATGCTAAAATAGAATTGCATGCATAACAATTTAGCATATAAATAATCCTAAACATCAACATACTAGAAATTATTTTAAAAACTTCAACACATTTCATTTATGCATTGTAAGATTAATGAAACTTGATATGATGACATTACTTATTGTTATTATATAGCAGATTCATATCATTTTATTATTCTTGTTATATGCCCCAATAATTTGTAGTTTACTATGTAAGTTACTTGTTGAGTTCGAATTTCAAACTAGTAAAATTTTGATATAAAAGCAACCACCAAGGTTCATCAAAGGAGCATATTTTTCAGCACTAGTATTTTATTCAATATTTTTGAGTTTATGTTGTAGCAGAAGCTTTATTAGTATTAGTACCTTTGTTGGGTAGTTTGGCTTCTGTATTCCTAGCTTTCATTTTTCGTTAGTCATCGTTGTTACTTTTTTGTTGTATCAGTAATATATAGATTCTATTAATACAAAAAAAAAAAAAACCTCAAAATAAGTTTAACTTGCACTTGCTTAACTTTTGAAACTTATTTTAAAAGCAGAGATTCATCCCTTCATCATGGCCTAAGGTGTGACAATATTAATGGCATTAGCATGATTTCTTAGATTACTTGTCGAAAAAGAAAAGAATCAATACAAGTGCAAACCATATTCTTTGCATGATTCATTCCAAGCTTCTAACGACTTTCCAAATACTGTGCTCATTTAAAACAGTCGCTTATGGAGAACAATGATATCCATTGACAAAATACAAAAAATTATGTACCTCGTTTAAAAAGATCATTGGTGTGTTCCTGCACTTCTTAAGAAATTGGAATTTATACATACCATCCCACTCAACTCCAATTGTAAATGAAAAAATTAGGCTAACAGCTGCCAAATTTCAGAAGAGTATCACTCGAGGCACTATTTCTGAGTCTAAAATCACAAAAATCATTAACACAATACTACAAACCGTGTATATTGGAAGACCAGCTTCACCTAGCTCTTAAATTCTCATTACCCTTGGCTCACCACCACACATAATGGGCTGGTTAAATCCACCTATCCCTATGATCATGTGAAGTGCATATTAGCTTGGAAGATTTACGTACATACCACTGAACTCCTATGTATTTACATATTTAACACCAATTTTTACATACATGCCAACTTAGCTATGCATGAGAAGTTGTATTTCAACTTTTAAAATTTAAAGTGATGATATTTTTAATGTGATATGTAAGATCTGGGTACTATAAATGTAAAATTCAGGTGTAAAAAATATGTAAATACATAGGAATTGGATGCCATGTATGCCAATGCAGCTAGTTAATTATTTAAGCATAGGACTTCACTGATACATTAAATACGCCATGACACTATACATTCAACTAACAACATTCAAACAAATTCGATACTCTTGCATAATAGTGGTTACATCCTACTGTAATGGATACTTGAAGGAAGCATTTCTTACCTTCTCATTACTATAAATAAGGAGAATCGAGATTTGAGGCACTATTTGTCTAACAAAATTCAAACATGTTTTAATAAAATTTGTGTGAAGCAATTCTGAGAAAGACTTCCATGAAATGGACCTTAATTAACTGACCAGTCCCATAATAGTCCCTACAAAATCAGCTATTTGGTCAAAGCAACACGTAAGATTAGAATTTGGACAGATTACTGATGAAACATGCCAATTGACCAACTGCGTATTCTCACAACTCTTATGCCCCGTGGCTTAAGCCCCTTTTTGTTGCAAAATTAGCAGGATTTAGGCTATATCTTTTTTCCCCACGTTTTAGGTTTAATCATGGATTTAATAAATTTTGATAAAAGAAGTAAAAGTTAAGAAATCCTTATCACTTCTCCTCTTTCTGCATCTGATTCAACTTTATTAAAATATCTCACCAAATAATTTAGGAAGATTTATGTACATAACACTCAATTCATATTTATTACATATCTAACACCCAAACTTCAATTTTTACATATAACACCTTACCTATACATGAAAATGTGTATCTCATATTTTTAAAGTTCAAATAGTGGATGATGTGATATAAAAATTTTACTGGTATCAATGTACAAAGCGAAGTTCAAATGTTAGATATGTAAATACATGGAATTTGGCAGTATGAATGTAAATGCGCCAATAGTTTATTAGCCATCATGCAGAATAATGATCAGAATTTGCTAATTTGAATTCACAAGAGTTACTAAATCCTATAAAATTAAAATCAATTTGTAGCCAGACAGCCCTAAATTTAGGGCAACTAATTTACTCATACATTGCGACAAGATCCAAGTTATCCTCAATCTTCTAATCAGGAAATAAGGAGGTACCTTTTCCTCTTTCTTACCCGTTCTATCTTTGGTCATGACCTTTTCTACCTACAAATATCCCACTCCTAAACTTGTTCGATAAATTTTTATTTATCATATTCAAGAGCTGGAAATTCAGAATAATATTTGGTTCATTTCATTAAATTTATTTATGATGTTTTGACATAAATTCACTCAATGTGATTTCCTTTATAACTTAAATTCATTAAATTAACAAAATAATCGGATTTAATAAATTGAAGTTTAAAGTTAAAAAAAAACATCGTTTTTTTTAGGATTTCACAGTAAAGTCTGCTCAAATCGGCTACCAAACACCCCCTAAAATTCCAGAAGGCATGCAATCATGGTAAACTTACGAGTTGGGATTCGAGGGAATGCAGTATTTATGCAAGCTAAAAGTTTGGAGGGAAACTTACGACTATTAGCAGTGAGAGATGACGATGGAGTTGGTGCGAGAGGTTGAAATGGTAGTCCATGAGAACAACGACGGCGGAGGCGGCGAGGGTGTAAGCACCGAAAATTTGCCTTTACTTTCCCCTGGATTCTCCCGTTGCCACGCGAAACAAATTTCTTTCCTTCTGCATCGCCGCCTTCTCGATTCAGATTTCCCAAATCTTCCCTTTCCTTTCCCCGCCGATTCTTCCCTATTGGTCTCCCGCCCGCTCCTTGCCGCCTTTCCCGATTTGTCAAGCATCAGCGCTCTATAAGAGTAAGGCTAAGGCTCCAAATGATCTTCACATCTCCTCTCCCCTTACCTCCTCCCGATCTCCCTCCTCCATCTTCCCCGGTTTTGCCCGAAACAATCGCCTTCATGACCAAACCTATGCGATCCATTCGTTGTTGGAGCTAACAGTAAAGGCATGGGTGGGCATAACCACAAGAGAGAGTTTCAAAGGAGAATCAGAAAATTATGATTATTTTAGGGTCTCTTGATAAACATATTATTTTATTAATTTGATAATCGGTAATTTGATAATCGGTAGATTATCAGAATAAATTGATTTATTGTTTGAGACACCTTATTCAGAATAGTTTATTGTTAGTTGTCGCTGAATAAATGAACTTCATGTTTCTGTTTAATGAAACTGTTTGCAACAGAACTAAAATGAGAATAAAAGTATATAATACAGAATCCTGAAATCATCACATATCAGTTCAAAAGATGACATACAATGCTCACGCTCTCGTGAACATCAGAAAAAATAGAAAAATGATAAATACAATTACAATCATAATAAGAGATATTAAGATATTCCATTTCAAACTCTAACTATGTTTGTCCTCAGCTGCACTGTCAACCTCGGAAATCATAGTACCTCGATCACTGTTGGTAATGTAACATGTTGGACCGTCGGCCCATCGAAAAAAACTGCAACAAGTTGAAACACCCTTTAGGCAACCGTAGAACTTACGAGTTGGGTATATGGGCCAGAAGATTCCAGGGGCGTGTAGAGTTTTTCGAGAGGACGATTTTTTTCATGACATACATCTTCTTAATTTTTTAAATGATTTTGTCATATTATTAATTATTATTTAAATAGTTATTTTTTTAATTTTTGTAGTTATGCTACTCACTGTTCAGTGAATTGTTCATATTTATTTTGTAATGCTCTACACTGAATATTTGTTTTCAAGTATAGAATGTACTGATATGAACATTTATGTTGCAAACAATATTACAATACAGGAGCAGAATGACTATTTTTCAAAAAAACAGATGGAACACATTTATTTTCAAATTGCAAAAAATAAATAATCAAAACCATCAATAAGATGTATCATAAAGAAGCAAAATAATATATCGATCATATCACACTGAAAAACACCAAACCAAAAAAGCCAACATGTGCTGAAAAATGAACGAATGCAAAGAGTAGAGAGAAAACCACCATACGAGTCATTGGACATAAGCAATTGCAAAATAGAAAATCACCTGGTAGATAAAACAATCAAATTTAGTCTTTTTCACCTGCTTTCCAACCACTACCATCTATATTCTAATTCGCATATGCAAGCACCACCACAAAACCAGTTATTGCACATAGCCAAAATCATCAACAGGATGCTGCATAAAGAAACAAAACTATCTGCTGAAAAGCAAACATCCACTAAAACTGAAAAGCAGAGGGCCAAAACCCCCAAATTGCAAAAGAAAAAACCACCACAATTGAACCATTGTATCCAATTACAAAATCAAGAACCAATTAGTAGATAACGCGGAGAATTCCAGAATGGTAGGGAGACAAAGAAGATGAACTACCAGACAGAGCGAATTATGCATAGAACCATCAAATCGAGCTAAACAAAAGAAGGGAGAGGGAGAGGGAGAATAGAGAGCTCACCAAAATAACCAACTAAAATTGAAGAAGAGGAATCACTGCACATAACGTAGACCGCGCAAAAACACTAAACCGAACTGAAGAAAGAGAGGAGAGGGAGAGAAGAGTGAAAGCTCACCGTAACAGCTACCCGAAATCATTGAAAGACAACCAGAAATATGGGTTAGCCACAAAAGCCACATGATTAAGGGGCTCGAAAGAAAAGATTTTTAGGGCAAGGGAGCATTGAGAAAGGAAGCAGCGAAGGAAAAAGTAATAGCATGGTACATAAAATTAAGCGGCCAGGCCACTGCAGGAAACCGCGGCCTCAAACAGCCAGTCAATTACCGAAACCGCCATTTAATTTACGCTAAATGGTGAGGGTATTATTGGAAATTCAGGTTTTCTTCGTATGTGAACAATATAGCAGGTAAGAAATGATCAGAAGCAGACCGCCAAAAATGGCCATGGCGAGTGCCCTTCAAGCATGTCCGCGCCTAGTTCTTTGTCATCATAGTATGTTTCAGTTATTTCCTCTTGCTTAAAGATAGTTTTTTTTTTTAGTCCTTCTCTCATTTATTTCATAGAAATTCTTGTTTTGTAGTTGTTCTTTACTATGGCCCATGCTCTACGATAGTTCGCTCCTTCTGCACAATATCAGAACTTGATAGTCCACAAGAAAGATATCGTATTATCGAATTAAACGGATAAAAAATCTTCTGTTTGCTGTAGCTGCAGGTACAAAAGCCTTGGCCTCTAAGCGGAATGGCTTTTGTCCATCAAGCAGATTGCCTGGTACTAGGGATTTTGTTTTGAGAGGACCTCGCAGTTATGGAAGCTTTGCCTCCACTGCTTCTATGGTATACATGAAAGCAGCATTTTTTATTTGTTTTTTTTTATTATTAGTAATGATACTTCATTTAGAGATTTATATACATACAATACAATTCTTAGCATCTCAATCACATTAAAACATATACATAAAAAGATGTATTTCAGTTTAAAGTAGTTAATTTTAATGCTTTTTTATATGATTTAAAAATTTTGATGTTCTATAAGTAAATGTGTAGTATATCTGTAAATTCCCCTATTTTGTTTTTTGAAGGGTGCAATCTTTGATCCTTTTTATTTTTTATTTTTAAATGCAAGAGCAAGTAGCACTTTGGTTATATTTATGCCACAAAATATACTTACAAGTTATTTTGTATTAAGTTGTGGAGCCCAATTTTTGCCATATGAAATACTCAAACTTAGTTGCCGGTCTAGATTTGTGGTTGCTTAGTCTTTTTATTATTATTATCATTATTGTAAAGAGGGGATTCATCTTTTTGTTGCATCTAACAAATTAAGATTTTAATTATCCACAATTAAATAATTATGAAATTTGCAGTGACGGCAATGAATCGCAGTTTTCAATTTGGCAAACCTTGGTAAAATCTGTTGAGTTTTTTTGTGTGCTAATCTTCTTTTCTACTTTTCTACATTGTTTTTCTCCCCTGTATTTTGAATAAGTTTCACCTATTTTCCAACATTGTTTAACATATGAAAGTGAATTCCTGTTGGTTACTGTTATTGAATTCATCTTATCTTGCTTTGTAGTTGTTGAGAAATTAGGACAAAGAAAAATAGAAATCGACACAAATCCAGAAAAACACAAAGATATTTAACGAGGTTCGGCAAAGATGCCTACGTTCTCGGGAGCAGAGCGGCGAATTCATTTTAATATTCAGAAAAGATATTACAGAATTTTTTGAGATAACACATATGGTTACATACAGACCTATTTATAACCCTAGAAAATCCTGGAGTACAATATGTAATTACCAAATTACCCTATACCTCACCCCCAACCCACATAAGGAAACTTCCTGATTTGGACAGAATCTTCCGCTCTGCTTCGCTCCGCTTCAGAATCTGTCTATTTATGGTATATGAGCAATATCTAACAAATCTCCACCTTAGCGAATATCCAGCCCGTTAGAATAAATACATCATGGAGTTTCTTACATACCATAAGTGGGTTGGGCCACCATGCTTCTCTAGCAACTGCAAACATTCAACAAGTCCAAGCAATGCAAAAACTTGTTGATAGTAACTGACTTGGTCAACATATCAGTTGCATTTTCATCAGTATGAACCTTTTGCAACAGTATCTCACCAGAAGCAATCAATTCTCTGATCTTGTGATACCTGATATCAATGTGCTTGGTTTTCGCATGGTACACCTGGTTTTTAGCCAGATAAATAGCACTCTGACTGTCACAATGCAACTGAACTCCACCTTGCTCAATGCCCAGTTCCTTTACTAGCCCAGCAAGCCATAAAGCTTCTTTAGCAGCTTCAGTTACTGTCATATACTCTGCTTCAGTTGTAGATAATGCCAAAATAGGCTGAATTGTTGATTTCCAACATATAGACCCTCCACCAAGAGTAAACACATACCAAGTTGTAGACTTTCTCCCAGTTGTAG